TGGCCCTGGCTGGTGTGGCTCAGTGGATTGAGCACCAGCCTGTGAACCAAAGGGCTGCTGGTTCGATTCCCAGCCAGAACACATGCCTGGGTTGCAGGCCAGGTCCCCAGGAGGGGGTGCTCCAGAGGCAACCACACATTGATATTCTCTCCCTCTCCTTCTCCCTCCCTTCCCCTTTCTAAAAGCAAATAAATAAAATATTTTAAAAAGAAAGGGCTGCTGATTATTAATCAATAAACTTTTTATAAAAGTATTAATTTTTACATAAATATGTCTGAAATATACATACAACTACATCTATATCTATATACACAGATCAGATCATCTGCATATGCACAGACACACTTGTGCATAACTTTAAATCAGGCAAATTGCAAATGTGGAATTCACACATATAATCGTACACAAAATCATTTCCTCAAAAAAGCAGTTTAACAATTTGGCCACTAAATTTCTCCTGCTTCAATCACTTCCTTTGGCTCCCATTAAAATGGCAATTAGTAGTTGAGCTAGCTAGAAGCTAAAATAATGTACTCACATTCTGAATGGAAGGGGAAGCATGGACAGAGGCATGGTCTGGTATGCTGTAAAAGGGAGGTCAGGAACTAGGTAGGCTTCCACTAAAAATTATTTGTTATGTAGGTGATTCTGTACATTTTAATCTCTGCTATAGTTCTTTTTAGTAAAGAATCATCTTTATTAATGGACATCTCTATGCTCACATACAAAAACACAGGGCTTCTTCATTCAGGATTTGATGGCTTTCCTCACACTGATTTCCAGCCTAAACTGGGTCATTCCAATCATTCACTCTATTTAGAAGTTACTGAGCGCTCACTGTGTGCTGCGGATGATTCTAAACACTGAGATGGAACAGTTAGCAAGATGGATAGGGTATTTTTCATGGAATGGGGAGATGAAAGATGGGAGAAGAAATGAAACTTAGGAATATGCAATAAACAAGGAAACAAGCAACAATTTCAGACAAAGATAAGTACAACTAAGAGGTTAAAACACGCTTCTTTCCCCGTTCTGCCCCTTCTTCCTTATCCTCACCTTATCATCTGTGAATGTTTTCTCACCACTTTTTCCACTCAACCCTGAATAAACTGTTCTCTCCTTTTGTGGACTTACTGATCTCCCCTCCGCTGCCATCCTTTCACTTTATTATATTTGTTTACCCATCTTATCTTTCTCAGTGAGCCTTTATGTCCTGTAGATTTTTCATAATGATTTTGTACTAGTTACTCCTGGCATAGATTTTGGTTTTGCTTACCATATAACATTTTCAATAAATTAACTAAACAAATTTGTTGGAGAAATAAAGAAAGCTCTAGTGATGAGGGAACTCAAGAGTTGAAAAGGCTTTTTTAGCTTTGTTGTATAGTTAACAGGCTTAGTAATTAATGCATATAAAAAGCTATTGTTCCAGGAACTGGAATGTATAAATGGACCTACCCAGACTCCAGGAGACCCACAAGCAATTCTACCTTTGTGCCCCAGGAGGACTGCAAGCAGGCAAGATGGTATCTGAGCCACTGTGCTTCAGGGAGGGAACGTCTGCTGACCAAGCCCTTATTGTATGAAATGTTAAAGGGACTTATATAAGAAAAAGAAGTTTAAAAAACATGAACAGTGAAAGGACAGTGAACTCAGTTATTAACAACCACACCTAAAACAAAAGCAAACTAAAAGGACAGCTAGATCAGGAGTGGAAACATAGTAATGAAGAACTCAAGGAGGGTTAGCAACAGGGGAGTGGGAGGAGGAGAAGGGGGGAGAAGGTACAGAAAATAAGTAGCATAGACAGTAGATAGAAAATAGATGGGGGGGGCAAGAATAGTATGGGAAATATAGAATCTAAAGAACTTGAGACACATGGTCATAACCTAAACGGGGGGGTAATGGTGGGGACGGGGGGTAGGGTGGAAGGGAATGAAGAGGGGGAATAGAACAGCTGAAATGGCATAATCAATAAAAAAATTAATTAAAAAATAAATAAAATATAAAATCCTGAAAAAAAAGACACACATGCAGAATCACTGGTCAGCAGATAAAGGGATACCAGGAAAATCACAGGACTGCAGCTTTTATCTGACTATCAATTTTCCCTAAGTTCCGAACCCCCTGTGTAGTTTTTTCCTAAATTCTAATCGCCTACCTACACTCTTCTCCTTATAAAAAAGTTCAGCTTGAGACGAGAAGTGAGATGGTCTTTTAGGGTATGTAACCCACTGTCTTCTCAGATTGCTGGCTATTTCAATAAAGTGCTAATAATGAGTCAATCCTTGTCTCTACTTATTGATTCTCGTGGTGACAGGCAGCATGAATGCTGACTTTTCTAGTTTCACCAAGAGCAGGCTATCATTGGACAACTTGAGGCTTAGTAGGAATGACTATGTGGTTACACATATTATTCACATATGTTGTGTATGCGATTACAATTTTCTATAAAGATTTTCTGATAGTCTTATTACAACCATGTTCTATTATTTAATCTAATGGCTTTCACCCAGTATATCATCTTTTTTTAAAAATAGAATTTCAGATTCACACTACCAAAATGATGTCTGTCACAACTTGAATTGAACAGGTATATAGTAAGAATTAAGAGGCGACGCCAAGGGCACTGGAGAGAAATCTTATATTTCCCAGAACCCAAAGAACTTGCTTCTAGAGAGACTTAGAGCAACTAATTGTAATGCTCAGAGAGTAACATAGCACTGACAACGGACTAAGTAATTTGAGGCTGCCATGCAGTATTAGAAAGAGTGCCGTGACCTCACAATGGTTTCCAGCAATCCTTCTGAGGGCTATAACCAGCTCAGTCTTTATTCAGTGTCTCTCAGGGAACTACCAGTTCGAAGGTAGGCAGAGGAAAAACTCTTGACATTGCAACAATAAAGAGCTTCTTGAGGTGATTAGAGCTCATCTGCCTGATAGTGGGTATAGTAGGACCAAAGTGCGAACCCACAGAACTGATTGCTTTGAACATTAATGAGGAAATGCCTTCTCTTGTTGCCAAAGCAGGTAGGAAAGGATCATATTAAATGCTCTATTACTCATCAGACATTACGCTTGGATTTGATTAAGAGTTACATCTAAAACATGTCACATATCAGGAGGTCATCTATTTCTACAGCTCCGATGTGCTCCTGTACAATCCCTGATGGTTTTTCTCCATCACAGGCAGTTCTAAGAACATGGCTTCACTCCTGCATCTGTTCTTTCACCTTCAAAGATGGGATCCATCAGAGCACAGGACAATCACAAATCCAAAGGAGTATACAAGAAGCCTGAGGTTTCCTGCAGAGTAACTTAAAACCGTTAGCTATATTTTATGGTCCAGACTTACATTTTTAGTTAGGTTTAGGAAGTGAATAGTAAAAAGTATTTCCTATTTTTTTTATTTTGTGAATGGAACATCTGAACCAAAGAGATGCTGGATCAGTGAGCCCCCGACAGATGAAACCTGTTCTTAGGGATGAAGCAATGGGCTTTTCCTAAATTGCCATGTGTGGTCACTTCATCGAAGGACAGAAAATAGTTGAAATGGATTAGTAGAAGAAATTTAGATTATGTGGATAAATCTGGTTCTATCATTATAGTACTCATTAGTTTTAGTTCTTAAAACTAAAAATAATTACTGTTTATTGAATGCATACCTTGTGTCAGCCAATATACTAGGTGTTTCATGTGATTATCTACATTCGTTCTCTTAACAAAACTACGTGGCAGCGATACCCATTTTCACGGATGGAGAAACTGAAGCTCAGAAGAGACAGGATTAGAAACCAATGCGGATGACTTCAGAGTTTGCATTCTTCCCAATATGTCAATTGCCTTGAGAACAATTTCATAGATCAAATGATGCCTCTCCCCCATTTATAAAAGTATCATTTAAGAATAAGACTAACTCTGCATTCTAATTCTGAGCTATCAGGATTTTTTTTAAGTATTAACCGAGGGGAAGCATCTTTACAGATTTAATTAAAAATGCACTTAACTTATTTACTTTGCATAACTAAGTTCACACATATCTTTGATGAAAGAGACCAGCGGAGTACAAGCTTGTCCCATCAGTTGTTCCAGCCTTGCTGTAGTTTTTCAGTCCAGAGCAATGCTTTTGGTGAGATTATGAAAACTCAAACACAAGTGTGGTTAAGGAGGCAGAGAGAGGTTAGGGGATCACATAACAGTGATGTCAGTGGGTATTTACAACATTGCAAAATTTCAACCTCAAAATACAGTTTTCTAGAACAGGTGACCTTCTGGAGAAAGGGATAAAAAAAGAGAGAGAGAGTAGGTGGGAAAAGTTAGAGAAATTCAAGGCTTGACACAGAGAATGTGTTATAATAACTGTGTCAAATTATCTCATACCCATGACAAAATAACTGAAGTTCTTTCTCCAAAAGTGATTCAATCTAAGCATGCTAAACATCTATTACTGTATTTGGATGTTATTCGATTCACTCTAAAGGAATGAACACCTAAGTGATTTTCAACAAATCCTGTTATGCCATCCTGCTGACAACGGTTTTTATTTTCCACAGACATGATTATAGTTTCATGCCCCTATTTAATCACAGTTCAGTGCAATTACCTAGATAGATCTCATGGTGTGACATCTAACGCCTCTCTATTGAGATAAATTCTCTTTTGTAGATTTCAAAAGCATTTGCTTTCTAGTGCTTCCCATTTCTTAAGTTGGATGGAGGAGGGGGAAGATAGAAAAAATATTACTCTCATCAGGAAAAATATATAATATTAAGGATAACTCAGAAGGGGCTCTTTAAATAGTGAAGCACATAATAATAACTTGTTCTAATACCTTGTGAATTACATTTACTTTCATTTTTATTTTTTTCTTATTTTCCTCTTAGAGAGAAGGTAACATCCGGTTTCCTCCTCTGCCTTAAGCGTTTTCTTTGCAAATGGAAGAGTAGGAGAAAGAAAGCTGGCAAGCAGTAACCTGGGACAGTTGATTTCTTGTGGGTTACCTTGTAGTTTCTGGTTGTATTCGGTCCTGTCAGACTGGCTCCTCCTCAGGGTGCCAGACTGGTCCCCAGAAGCACTGCTCTCAACCACAGTGTCTGTCTTCCTTCTCTCCAACATATAGAGCCGGGGCTTCAAGAAGGTCAGGTTCTTCTTCTTGGTGCCCACATTTTCTCTTCCAGTGGCTTCTTCGGGCTCCATCTGAGGCAAAGATAAGCTTCAGAGGCTTTGCAGGGTATGACTGGCTGTTGCTAAAGTGCCTTAGGGTGAAAGTTAAAGCCACCAGAGTATCAAGTTTAACTGCCCCCTTCCAGCTACACAGCTTCACTTCAGGGTTACCTGGCTGTGACTGCCACCTGTACGGAGTCCCAGAGCCCCACCCCAATGAGGTCATTCCTTTTTTATACCTAGAATCCAACAGGGGAAGTTGCCACCTGTTACCTGAGAGACCTGCAGCACAGAGCTAGGCAAAGCAGGGACTGCGCTGTCACATGCTACTGAGGCAAACAAAAATCCCATTGTGTGGGGAGAGAGCTGGGGGTTGGGGGAAAAGGAAAGAGAAGAGGCCAGGAGGAAGGGAAGTACACCAGGGTGTAAGCTGTGGCCGATGGGTTTCATGTGTGCCGATGGCGGTGCACAGGTGCGCTCAGGGCACTGTGTTGAGGGCTGTTGCCTGGAGGCAGATGTGGGCTTGTGTGTGACCTTTAGTCACTCATATGTGACCACAGAGTTAGTGTGAAGCTAAGAGAATTTGTGTCTATATCACAAGAGTGGATACAGAATCATTTTTAAGTATCGTTGTGCACACTGAATCATGAACACCCAAACACTATTTACTTAAAAATACCCTCGCCAAACCCCCTTTCTGCATTCCTGAGGAAACAAGGATATGAATTTGAGGGAGGTCTGTCTGCAGGCATGGAAAGAAAAGAGAATATCCGAAGAGGCTGCTGTTTGTCTTTGATTTCTCCTCTCCTGGTGTTGCCCCTGCCATACATCCGTTATGGTCCCAGCCCCGTCCTTCTGAGTCCTGGTCCGTAGGAAAACAAGCAACTTGTCAGGATGTGATTTCTGTTCCGGCTTTGCCCCATCCCTTTTGCAAAAGGAGTGACAAGAAAGGCAGCTCACCTTGGGAAAATAAGAGGAAAAATATTTGAAACTGAGAAGAGACATGTAGAAAGCAGGAAGGACAGAGAGCAAGGACTGGGAGAGAGAAAGACAAATAGTGATGGGTCCTTCATTAATTTTTTAGAGTTGTTTTTCCTTGTACTCACTGAGATTTCTCAAGGGGAGGCTGTAAGAAGCTCTGGGGATGTGCTGAGGGGTTTGTATGTCCTCGTTAAATAAAAGAAAGACCCTGAGGAGGAAAACAGGTTATTTTTTCTTGTAAAGAGACAGCCAAAAGTCAGCTTTGTGCTACCCCTTCTGAATCATGGTTAACTCTTCTTAGACAAGGTTTAAACATGAGGAAAAAAAAGAAGATGAAAACCATTTTTTCAACTCAGGACATGTGCGCTGCAAACAATTCACATAATTACCTTAGAAGATAAATGACACATTTTCATCCACTATAAAAACATCTATATATAGCTTGGCATATTGAACTGCTTTTACTGAACACAATTGACAGTCTTTTTTAAACAAGCTCTTCCAATTACATTTAATAAATGCTTTTAAAAGGGACATTCACCACTAAGATGGAAAATTAGCCTTTTGACTCATGTTTAAAATGTCTAAATTGTATTTTAGTATTATATATGCATATGTGTATATAATATGTGTGTATTCACTGGTTACTAACAGACATATACTATTAGACATAATACTACTACAAAATTGTACAATTAAAACTACAGGACTTATGAAAACATGGGATTAGAGACACAGCAGTGGAAAACTTTGTGGGTGACCGATAAAATACATAGAGAGCCCTGGCCGGGGCTGAGTCTGTGGCAGCATCGCACTGCACACTAAACATCGGGTGTGCTTCCCAGTCGGGGCGCACGCTTAGGCTGTGGGTCCAGGCATGTACGGGAGGCAACTGATCACTGTTCTCCCTCTGTCCCTTTCTCTCTCTCTCTCTCAAAATCAATAAACATATCCCTGGGTAAGGATTAAAAACATACACATATATGAAAAAACAGATAGAACACACAAAAAAGAGACCATAGCTTTACATGTGACAAACAGTTAAGAAATACATAAATATTACAATAAATATGAAACTTTACTTTGAAAAAGAACTGAAGTTTAAAGAATAAAATGAAAAGGTTAAACTTTAAAAAATAACTGAAGGTATCTTATAGAAGTCATAGGGTTATAGCTTCTGAGTGAAGTGACAGAAGAGCCATTTGGAATCAGATGATGGAAGTGCACAGTGTCGGACGTGGACGGGTGTGGCCAGGACCACTGGCAGGAAACTGAAGTGGCTGGAAGCCTGCAGGGGCGTGCATGCCTGAGTGCTGTGTACTCTCTGCGGCCCAGCGCTTTTCTATATTTACCGAGCGTTTCTAGTGGACAAAAATCACAGATAAGGAAATGTGAAACTGTGTTATGCTCAAACAGTTCATGTTTGTTGGAATAAATTTGTGTTTTGAAAATAAGCATTGGAGTGCAACTGACTGTAGTAGCTTTCTCATATTTTGAATTTCATTATTTAAGAAGCTACATAGCATAGCTACAAGGAATTCAGTAGTGAATCTATATCTTATTTATTCACAATAACTTCTAGATCAACTTTAACAATAATAGATAAATTCTTTTAAACTATCTTTAAATCAGTCAATAAATGGGGTGGTCACTGTTAGTTGTTTTCTACCACCTCTTCCCTCATGCTATGCCTTGCCAACAGAACCCTATTTTGTTCAAGGCAGTGTTACACTTGCCCAATCATAATGCTAATTTTATTTTCAATTTTTCCAGTCTCTCTTGTTGCTAGGGTGTCCATGTAATCTCAGTCCTGGCAAATGGGGCCCTGGGGTAGTCTGTGATGATGGGAAGCAGAGTATTGATTGTAGGAAAGCTTTGCTTCTCTAATAAAAGGTGTAGTAACAGCTGACTTCACCCATCCCTTTTTGTCCAGACCTGATCATAAGTACAACACATAGAACAGTTACAGCCACTCTGGGTCCATAAGAAAAGACCAAGGGAAGCATGGGCTCTGTTACCACTGAGCTACTGAACCAATACCAGCAGCCACCCACCTGTACACTTGTCGATATCAGGATGAAATAAACCTTTCTTACTAAAGCCATTTTTGTCAAAACATTTCTAAAGGATTCAGTAAATAGTTTCACACGTGTGTGTATGTGTGTGTGTGTATAGTTCTTTTGGCTTATCTCTTTAACACTTTCTAAGATAATGTGTTCAGAATCACCAGCACAAAATAAAACCAGCTGGGCTAGAGAGATTTTGTGTTTTGTTACCGAGGCATCTTGCTCAATAGAACATGAGTGAGACTGAATGAACAAGACCTCTAATTTGTCTGTTTTATATTTTATTGCCGAGGTACAGACACCTTTCAATACAAGGATTTTATACTACCTAAGTAAATAAAATATAAATATTAAGACACTTAAATTAATTCTACTCTGAGTAGAGGACAAGCAGTTCCTGGCTCATTATTTTTAAAAAGCACTGGACAGTGAATCCAAGACCCAGTTTTAGTTTTGGCTATGATATAAATCAGCTTTATGACATGTGACATAATCTCTAGTGCCTAATTTATTCCTTTGTAAAGTGTAAGAGTGAATTAGTCATTAGTAGTCAGTGAATATTTTCAGTTCTCCACTTAGGCACATGGGAACATTGCAACACCCTACACTGCTTAAGTTTAGGTGTGGTCATGTAACTTGCTTTGGCCAAAGAAACTGATTAAACATGATATATGTCACTTCTGGGAAACTGTTAAGGATCCGTGTGTGCTTAGCTATGGCTTTCTTTCCCTCACCCATGGTGACTGGCACAAGTCCACAGTGGCTTCTTCACCAGGACGAGTCACAGAAGTGCATGACTGAGATTAGAGTCCCCAGCCACCCCATAATGGTTGCACAGTTTGAGAAGAAAGAATTCTTTGCTGCTTTAAGCCTGTAAGATTTGGAACTTTTTTATTACTTCAGAATAACCTAGACTATCCTTATTAATGTAGGATGTAGATTAAATAATATATAAATCTTGTTCAAGTTTAGCAATATATGATTTCAGGATTCTAATACCCAGGGTACTATTGCGTAAAATCCTAATTTCAAACAAAAAATTACAACTCCTGATGAGTCATGAATAAACTGAATTGGGGAAAGAAAAGAACTCATTGAAAGTTAGGAGCTAACAGGAGTCTAGACAAAAAGTGCTTCGACCAGGGTAGTGGTGGTATAGATGGAGAAAAGTTGACAAGTTAAAATCACTTAAAAAGTTGAAACAGAAGTGCTCTGGCCAAAATGGCAGCAGAGGTAGAAGCACTTCACTTCTTTGCACAACCAAAAGAAGGATAACAACCAATTTAAACACAAAAAACAACCAAAACTGCCAGAAAATAAAACTGCATGGAACTCTAACAACCAAGGAGTTAAAGAAACATTAATCCAGACTAGAAGAAGGAGTGGAGATGGACAGCCAGGCAGAATAGACAGGCAGCAATGCTGTGGACAGTGCAAGTGAGGCAGACGCTGGCAGACCTTGTGGTCCCACATTCTCATATGGATAAGCTGGGAGGGACAACTAGGTACTGAGACCGGAAAAACCAAGGTTTCAGCATGGGAAATAAAGACTAGAAACCTCTGGCTGTAAAAACCTGTGGGGGTTGCAAAGGTGGGAGAAACTCCCAGTATCAAAGGAGAGTCCACTGGAGAGACTCGCAGGGTCCTAAAATATACACAAACTCACCCATCCAGGAATCAGTACCTGGAAGGGCACAATCCACTTGTGGGAAGTGAGAGAAGTGAGAAAAATTGGGGCAAGAGTTGAGCAAGTAGCATTTTTCCCTCTCTGACCCCTTCCCTGGTCAGAAGCACCACAATGCAGCAGTGTGGGTTGCCCCACCTTGGTAAATACCTAAGGCTCCACCCCTTATGACCTAACAGTATATGCCAAGACCAAGAAATATAGCCCAAATGAAAGAACAGAACAAAGCACAAAAAAATATGACTAGATGATGAATAGATAGCCAACCTATCAGAGGCAGAGTTCAGAACACTGCTAATCAG